CCCCCGCCGCGGGCCCGCGGGGGCGCGCCTGGCCTCTCCTGCCGCTGGCGGCGCTGCTGGTGCTCCTGCTCGCGCCGGACCGGTAAGCATAGCCCGCGCCCCAGTGCGCCCCGCGCCCCACGCCCCGCGCAGCCCTCGAGGTGTCCGTCATGCGCAGGATGCGGTGTGGGCCCCGGACGGCCCCGACGCCCACGCCGCCGAGAGCGAGCGAGCGATCGCGGAGCGCGAGGTGTGTGTTTTGTTCGACGTGAATTATTTGTAATGAGACCCCCGAGAGTCCGGCCCGCGCGGCCGGCGGGGGCGGCGCGCGCTTCCTGCCTCGCCCCGCGCGTCCCCACGCCGCCCCCGCAGCGCGCAGCGTGGGGCCGCAAACGAGAGAGAAACAAGTTGTGCATTTTGTAAAATTACCCTCCTGCAGCTGAACGAGGGCACGGGAGCGCGCGGGCCCGACCACAGAGGAGCCTTGGGTCTGTGGGTGCGGTGGCCAGTCTGACCCCTGCCGCCGCCCCGGGGCCGGGGCCGCGGCCGCTGTGACGTGGTCGCGCCCCTCTCGGCGGCGTGTCCGGGTGCCTCTCTCTCTGAACCGTAGAGGGCAGCGCATGGGGAGGTACTTATTTTAATTAGGCGTTCTCAACTGAAATGAAAAAGAAGCTGCGTTTTAAAAAGCCAAGCACGCGCGTGCTTGCGGTCCAGTGTCCCGCGGTCTGCGCGTCGCGCGGCGGGCCACCCTGCGTACTTTTGCATTTTCAATATCACCTCGCTCGAATCCTCTCGGAATTCCCTGTACATCTCCATTCCTCTATCTGGTAGTTGATGGCAGTGCCATTACCGCAGCCGTTACCCGCCGCCGGTCGCATCGCACCGTGCATCTCCATGTAAAGGGCCCAGTAACATTTAACGGCCTGCTGGCGGGCCGGGCCGGGCCGGGCCGGGCGGGCGGCGGCCGCGGGGCCACAGACTGGACGTGCATCGCCAGGACGGGGACCCGCTGCTGCGCACTTTGTCGGGAATGTTTACAATTTGGCCGAGCGCGCGTCGATAATCCCGACCGCCTCCGTTCGGTGCGTCTTGGAGACTCTTGGCTGCGCGCTGAGGCCCCCCCCCCCATACCCTCCTACCCCTTTGCCTCTTCCCCGCTGCGGCGAGTTCCCCTCTCCGGGAGGACTCCGGGGTCCGGTCCATCAAAAAGACGAGCTGGGCCTCATGCTGACATTTGTACGCTAATGCGGCGTCTAATTGGTGAAATGTCAATAAAATTAAATGAGGAGACATTCCGTGAGGCGGGGACACGGGTGGGACCACCTGGTGGCCGGCCAGTGGAGGACCTCTCTGCTGCTCGGACCGTCGTCGTCATCGTCTCCGAACCACACGGCATGCGAGGCTCAATCGAGATCTCGAAGGCATCCTTAGCCCTCTTCTCTCCCTCTTTTTTTTTGTGTACGAATAACAAGGCGCAGCATAGCTGAGCACGCTGGACCCACCAGCAGTCCTATTCCGATTCAATATTGGTCACTTTCGTAGCTCTCTGCTCCGGCGGGGGGGCGCGGTTGCGAGAGCGAGCTTGCCGTGCCGCGTGACGCGCGCCCTGCCTCGCCGCGCCGTGCCCTGACGGAAATTCTGGACGGGCTCGGGACGTCCTCAGCGCGTCCAGGTTGGGTCAAATTGGACATGATAAGGACGGGCACTAGCGCGTCGCAGCTCCGTCCAGTTCCGTCCACAGTCCATTCTCGGTGCGTCCTCAGCGCGTCTTGCCGGTCACCAGTACGTCTAGCACATGTCCACACTCTGTCCCACGTGTCCTCCGGCGGTCCTTCGCCTGTCCAGAGTCGGTCCCGTGCGTCCTCCAGGTGTCATCCAGCTGTCCGGGGTCTGTCCTCTGTGTCCTTTCCCTGTCCGGTGGCATGAACGTGGTCAGGTCCTGCGTGTCCTAGGACTGTCCTCGGCCAGTCCAGATTAGGTCCCATGCGTCCTCAAAACGTCCTGCACCCGTCCAGGACCCGTCATATTCGTCCTCGGCTCGTCCACTAGGACAGCGTGTCCGCAAATCGCCCAACCTGTCCCCAGGGCGTCCTCTGCCCGTCCTGGACCGGTCCCCTGCGTCCACTGCCTGTCCAGTCGC